GACTAGATCCTAAATGATAGATTGGAAAAGATGACAGATTAGATGATAGACTAGATGATAGATTGGAAAAAGTAACATCCAAACACAGAGGAGGTATCAGGAAGTACATGGGAAACTCAGGAGACAGTGCCAACATAAGACAGAAAGAATAAGAATCCCCAAATATCTTAAATATGTACTTTTCACAAAATGGATTCCTTTATAAGTAATGTGATAAAGTTACTTAAAATGTATAGGGGGCAATAACACAATATTCCACCGGTGTTTACTCTTTTACAATCATCTGTTCTAGTTTTGCTTAGAAGAGTCTCATATCTCCTCTTTATATATTCACAACCAATTGTGGTTTTATTTTTTGTAGTACCTGCAGAGTAGCCCTGAAATCATGCAACTGAATGTGCACATGGAAAGCTTATACAATGCTCTCAGTTGACAGACTGCATAAAGAGAAGCAGTTATTTAATAATTTAAGAAAATGCATTCTGCTTAATCTTCTCTCTCTATAAACCAGTTTGTGAACTAGACTTTTAAGTACAGCCTGTGAAAGCTTTTGAAATGGTGCGAGTGTGCGCGTCTGTTGCTGGGATGAAACCCAGGACCTTGCCCATACTGGGCAAGTTTCCTACCACTGAGCCACACTCCCAGCCCACTTCTCAAATTTTTTTTCTTACAAATTTCTATTTGCAATAATTTTTATTGTAGGACTTTCAAGAGACGTAGAGATTGGGAAAAAATCCTCGTTTGTCTGGGGCTGTCTTGAGCATTGTAGGACATCTAGCATAGCCCCTGCCACCAAGTGGCAGCAGCAACCATGAGCTGTCCCAAGACTCCATCAGGGACAGGACCACCCCCTGGAAGAACGTCATTAGCTGAGGCGAAGCCCACAAGTGTGGGTCATCACGCCATTGGGCCTCAAAGTCACTTCTGAGCCAACACACTATTTGGCTATTTGGTTGTGGGAACAGTTCTCTGCAGAAACCCAAAAATGCCAGCGTGCTGATTCATCACAGGGTCCTCGATGAATGCTGGGCATTCCTCCTCATCCAAGCCCAGTGACAGTGTCCTGGCCCAGATCACTGACAGCTGTGGACTTAGTCTTTGCTATTTTTTCCCGTTGAATCATTTCCCCTCCCATTCCCTCTTTTATCAAGATGCCATAGACTGAAGAACTCTCCCAGGGCCTATTGTCACATTCTTCCTTTTGGAAAAGGGGAGGGGAAGGGAATGTGGCCTTGCTTGAAGAATTTGTCCTCAAGCAGCTGGTAAGCCAGGGACCTGCATTGGTCAGTTCTCTACCACAGTGCCCCCCTGTGGAGGCCAATGGCAGGGCAAGTTGGGGACCCCAGGGGCTGCTTGTGCTTCCTCCCGCCAGTGGCAGACAGACACCTGTGTGCTGCAGAGCCAAGCCTACCTTCCCCCAGCTTCCAGAAGCCACTACTATCTAGAAAAGAGCTGAGGAATAAGGAGGAGATTGCATGGGGTGAAGATGGAAAGGGAAGCAGGAAGAGGTGTCTATGCAGGAGAGAAGGTGCCCGAGAGCAGAATCCAATTCATGAGATCCAGAGAACAGGAGAGGAAAGTCAAGATCTCTTGCGCATGGGGGTCTCTGTGTGTTTGTACTCCCCAATCTTCTCTACCAGTGTGTTTCCCACAGACTCTTTCTAAATCTCTCAATGGTGGCTGCAAGATTCAGAGTATGTAGACTCTCAGATCTGCCTACCAGGCCAACCATGGGCAGGGACATACAAATGGTCTTTCTTTTCTCCCCTGCGCTGTCTTCGGGATTTGGACCCATCTCCAGAGTTGCAATAGTCTGCCTTGCTGCAAGACTCCGAAGGCTCTCAGTGTCTGCTCACTGGCTCCTGCTGCAGGGAGCCAGGGAGCAGCCTTCCAGCAGTTGCAGAGACCATCCGGGGCATGGACATTACCAACAGCCCTGCTTTGCTCTTGCTCGTTGCCAGTGGTTGCCAGTGAACCTGAAGCATTCTGGGAATTTGGATTGCTGTTGCTTCTCAAACGGCTCCTTAAGGGCAATAGGCAGCAAACATGGACCACATTCTGCTGGAAAGGCCCCAGAAGATGATGGCTGCTGTTGTCAATTATTGGCATTTTTACAGGGCTGTATTTTTATTTCTAAGTATATTTGCACAGCTAGGAAGCATCTGCTGACAAGGATGAGATGATAAGCTGTACTGGTGCCAGAGCAGGACTGGAAAAACAGGCTTGTTCTGAGAATGGCCCACATCTCGAGAGTCACTGTTAAGAAAATCCTCTCTCCACAGGCAATATCTGCTCTTAAAATATTAACACTTGAAAGGAAATAAGGCATGGAATCCCTATCAAAGAGCACAGTGATGCACACAATAGGTTCTCAGTTATTGCTTGCTGGATGAAGGAACCCAGGCAGCCATGCTCATTGAGGGGGGACAGGGAATTGGCAGGCCAAGAGAAAACTTGACTTGCTCAAGCCTGAGTGCTGCCTCTTTTACCTCCACTGGAAAGTGCATCGTGAAATGCTGGCCCCCAGGACTGATGAAGGTCTAGAGTGTGTGCTTTGCCACTGAGCCCACAGTAGGAGGAGAAGTGAAGCACAAGGGTCAAGCAGGACCCTCTGTGCTGTTTGACCCTCGTTTCTGGGTTCCCTTGAACAAGAAAGGGGTCATTGGTGAATGAGGCCAGTATCCTGGGTGGTAACAGAAAAGGAAACTAGTAGAAATTGCATCATTCAAGTTGGACTGACTTAGCCTTGTGGCCTGGGTGAGTTCCCAGCATATCCAGTCCATGGCAGGACCTGTAGCAGATGAAGCTGGACTGTGAATGATGACATAAAGGACAGACCTCGAGAGGCAGAGCCCATGGGGAGCTTAGCCAGGGCCACCCCTGACCCCAACCCACCCTTGCATATCTCCATGCTATGTGCTACGTCCAATCCAACCTCATGGCTACTGGACATTGCCAATTTTTCTGATAGACTCATTCTTTCTCTGTCAACAACCCACATGAAATGTAAGTGAAGGAATTTTGCAATTTCCTTCTTATCACACTACCCGTCAGCTGCTTGCTTTGTTTATTTTGGATCCATGGCCTCCAGGTAACAAAAATGACTTGATGCTATTTGATGGCATGCTAGCCACTCTTATTTTGTTGTTTTTATTGTTTTGTTAGTTTTAAACCTTAGCCATTTTCTATTCTGGGCAATTACAACTCTGTTTACTATAAGTTCCTCTAAGGAGGTGCTTTCTTTAATCCCAACCCACAGACTGCTGCATGGGCAGTAACTTTTGAATTACATTTAACAGTATTAAGTTGGGGGCTGCAAACTAGGAAGATTTGAACTTGAAGGTGCTGGTGAGGAGAGGGGAGGAGAAATTAGTCATGAGATGGCCAGTGAGCTGAATGAAGGGAGACCAAAAAATGGTGCTGCAAAACCTGTAACTAGGACAGAAGCTCTGTGCTTTCTACTCCCTATAAGATAGTGTGATTGAGCAGGAAGCGCTTATTTCTGGAGGTTCAGCTGATAGAAAATATGTGGTCCCAAGACAAGCACATTCCATCCAGCCCTTCTTAACACTCCTCAACCCTCCCCACCTTGTGCTGGGGCTCAGCTCACAATTTACTGAAATAGTCAGGATTCTTTCTGTTGAAAGTGGCAGAAACTCAACTCCTATTATCTTTTTTTTTAAAATTTTTTATTTTTTTTATTGGTTGTTCACAAAATTACAAAGCTCTTGACATATCATATTTCATACATTAGATTAAAGTGGGTTATGAACTCCCAATTTTACCCCAAATGCATATTGCAGAATCACGTCGGATATACATCCACAATTTTACATAATGCCCAATTAGTAATTGTTGTATTCTGCTACCTTTCCTATCCCCTTCCTATTATCTTAAGCAAAGAGAGAATTTGTTGATTCAATGTTAGGAAGGATATTATGAAAACTCAAAGGTCAAATGAAAACTATATAAGAACTAGGGTCTTGTGACTGAATAGAGACCCTCTCTCTCTCTCTCTCCTTATTGCTGTTAAGCTCCTTCTGCAGATCGGAACTTCATGTACTAGAAAGAGGACCATTTAAAGCCCTATACAGCATTCTCATCTGCTAGCTTAGCAACCCTAGAAGAAGGGGTTTCTAGCTTACAACTTCCACGTACAACCTCAGAAGAGAGGTGTCCTGTTGCTGTGGCTCAGTGACAGAGTGCTTGTCCAGAGTAAGCAAGGCCCTAGATTTGAACTCAAACGTAAGAAAAAAAATTCCAGAAAGGGTCTCTTGTGTCTAGCTCAGGACTGGTACTGTCCAGAATGGAGTGCATGATGGTCTCGGCTGCAGTCCTGACCCTACCTGTGGCACAGAGAGCTGGAGAAAGGCAAGAGAGGGTTACCTGGAGTAGAAACAGCTATTTCCAAGATCCTCTGCACTCACCCTTATCCTAAACCATCAGCTGACACTGAAAAGGGCTTAGGCCCCAAATCTCACTGGAAACACAGAAGCAAAGCAAATCCTAGCTGGAAAGCCACCTTCCAGTCACTTAGCCAAGCAACCACCAGGACTCCTAGGGTCTGCTTTCTCCTCACCAGCTGTGCTAACAAAGCTTTGTAACTACTGTGCAAGCTTGGTAGCAGGGCAGAGGGATGCTCTGCTACCAAGAAACAATAGTGGCTTCCCCACAGGGTTGTGGTCAGTGTTAAATGGACAGTTCACACTGGTGTCAGATAGACCCCAGAAGGGTAGCCAGTGTCCCACAGCCCCAATGCTCACAGTTCTATCCTAGGAATCTTGACTCCGACACAGGGGGCCATATTGGCTTCTGGCGGCTCCCAGACTCGCATGTTCACTAGGAATTTCATGGAGTTGCTTGGTCTTAAATGGTTCCAGAACGTTCCTACTGCTGTACTGCTGTGCCAGAATGGGCTCTGGCTCACTATTTTGTATCATGGACATTTCCAGTCTCCAAGACCTCATCCTCTTTGAGTCTCTCTTTCTGTGCACATTCAGGAGTATACACATTTCTGTCCAGCACCCTGAAGTCTCTGGAAGAAAAGGACCATATCCACCGGGTCCTTGACAAGATCACAGACACCTTGATCCACCTGATGGCCAAGGCAGGCCTGACCCTGCAGCAGCAGCACCGGCGCCTGGCCCAGCTCCTGCTCATCCTCTCCCACATCCGGCACATGAGGTCAGTCATCCATGGGGTCCCCTGGGAGAGACCTAAAGGAAGCTTGCCCCAGCCCTGGGTGACAGCTGGCTCAGGAAGGACCACTGCCTATATATGGAGAGCACCCTTGGACAGTTCTGGGCACATAATAAGCTCACATGTTATGGTAGGATAGAGGAGGGAGGCATTGCTCTGCCTAGGGCCTGGGGCAAGTGTTGGAGAATGCTTCATAGAGAGTGTGGTGTGTGTGCTGGGTTGGAAGCATGTGCAAGGTCTTATGGGTGGGGGAGGAGGCCAATCAAAGCAAGTCAGTCAGCACATGCCCCTCTCCTGAAGGGGCACATCCCTCCTGCTCCCTGCCAAGCTCGCCTGAGTTACACTCAGAGATCCTAAATGACAGACTGTTGAGATGCCCAACCTTGTCAAACTTGACCTCTCCATAGCTCCTTAACCCCTCCTTGTCATCTCTATTCCATTTCCACTGCCCTTTCTGTACCAGCCACCTAACATGTCTGTCTGCCTTTAATCTTGGCCCTTTCAAACTATCCTGCGTGATGTAGCCAGAGTGAACATTCTTATACCAAATCTGATCATGTCATCTCCCCGCTTAAAACTTCTCAGGGGCTTCCCATTGCTTTTAAATAAAAGTTATATAAATCCCTTCATTTTGTTTATGTTACTCCTCGTGGTCCAGCCCTACTTAACTTACAGGGACCTCCTTGTAGTCTGAGCCCTGCCTCCATAGTAAGCTGCTCTCTAAGTCCTCCGGGAGCCTGCACCTCAAGCTGCAGATGGGCCAGGCAGCTCTGCTGATCTCCGCTGGATGCACTCACACATCTGTAGGGCACAGGTGGGAGAGTCTGCTTCATGCTGCAGCCCTGCAGGTAGGCCAGCTGACAGCTTTATGTGTCTGGTGCATCTTCCTTGCACCCACAGGTTGGCGTGTGCTGGGCACAGGCAGATGAAGCAAGCCCTTTTGGGCAAGTGCATCATTTCCATTAACTTTCCCTAGCAACCAAGTCAGGTGGTGAAACCCAAAGTCAAGTATCATGGACACATGGTGGCAAGGGTGTGTGTGTGTGAATATTTCTAAATAGTAATCAAACTTGTCATCACTTAGATCTCTCTCCTTTCTGGAAAGTATGACCTGACCCTTTAAACTTGTTCTTCTTAATTGTTATTGCCCATTTCATTAACCTCCTGCCCAAATAGACTGTAAACTCTGTGAGGCTATGATCACAATTTGTCTTACCCTGTATACCCTACACAACCTAGCACAGTGCTAAGCACATAGTAAAATGCAGTGAATATTATTTACAGAGGAAATAGAATCTCTTTATGTCAAAACATAAAGGTAGCCTCATTTCTTTTCTAAAGAATCATAAAACTTGGCTGCCAAAAGGCTTAGGGGATGCCATTCTCATAGGCAGAGCTCAGCCTGCAGGGAAGAGATGAAGAAAATATGGATTCTTCATCACAGATTCCAGAAAGTTCACGATAATGACAATGATATGAAATGATAGCACTAGAGACAAATACCATGGGTGATAAAACCTGCATGACCTTGAACTTATACAAGGACTCTAGGAATCAAAAAGAGGTATCTTTGAGGAAAGGACCAAGATGTTTAGAGGGAGTGGAAATAGTTCATTTTCAAGGGACCTTCATTCAATCTTTAGCTGTATGATTCAAATGGCAAGAAGTTTTTCCCATCAAAGTCCTAGTTGTCTCCTTTCTGGAGACAATCTTGCAAAATTGTTAGATTCTTGAGAAAAGAGAAGTACCTTTTTTTCCTTTATATCACCCAGAGTGCTGTAGATGAATACTTACATACAAAATGCGCTCATAAAATTATAACCGAGTGAATGAATGAATGAGAGAATGAATCAGTGAACAAATGAGTCCTGATAGGTTTTCCTCTTCCTATGAATCTGAAATTCATAAGTAAAGAATTCCACTTGGGTAAGTTGGGAGAAAGTGATTACAATCTCTGTTCTCAGGATTCCCCAAGAATCCCTGTGTAGCAGACGAAGGACTCACACTGCCAGGTACAGTAGGTGATTGCACCAGGGTTAACAATCCAGCCCTTTCCTGTCTTTGCCTTTTGATGAGCCTCCTACAGAAAGAAGCAGAAAAATGGCTCAGAATATCATATATCCTGCCGGATTACCTGGTGTAGACAATAACCTGCCGGATTACCTGGTGTAGACAATAACCTTACCTGGAAGAAAACAGACCGTCTTTTACTTTGAGCTAGGAATTTCAGGCATGTTATAGAAATCCCACACCCCATGGATGTGTTTATTTGTTGATAGGAATAGACGACCAATCAAATCCATTAACAGTCTGACAGCCTTAGCAAGCTAAATGGGTTAATATCAAGTATATTGGCACTAGACATCCAGCCCTGGCTGATTTTACTGGGCACAGCAGAGTGGAAGCTCTGTTAGAATTTCTTTAGGAATTGTGTGAAAAGCTAGAGAAAGATACTGTTTTATTGAAAGCTTTGAGTGTCCCACCCCCTCACTCTCTTTCTCTCTTCTTCTCTTTCTCTCCCTCCCTCCATTTCCATACCCCTCTGTCTCTCTCACTCATACACATATACAAAATAATATTTTGGTGCCTCACAACAGCTCATCTAAGTCCCAGAACTCTGTTTTGTCAAGCGTGGCTCCAGCCATATGCTGCTATTCAAAGAATTTAACACCAGATTTCATCTGACTGTAAATGTGATTCATTACATTGCACAAGCAAGACAGTGGCGGATCCAGGGGGCATTTAACTTTAACGGCATCTAAATTAAATAGCAAAACAGTAACAAAATAACACATCATCTAGGATGGGCTGTAAACCTGGATGACTCTGATGCTGGGTTTCCACCGCAGGACCCCAATCTGTGCTTGCCTACCCCCCCGCCCCACCCCCAACACTGCAAATATTTTCCAGGACCTTCTTTTGGTCCTGTCTCCTCATGATACATATTTTCTTTCTTAAGAAATGTCAAGCTAGATAGTCATTGTTGCAGCCCCCTCCCACCTCATGCTGTGGTGAGAACAGCAGAGAGGTGGCTGGTGGAGGGTAGAGGAGGGGCATGTGACAGAGAGGAGTGACATTTGCTTATGTTCCCCTTGCCGATTTACCCCCATTTACAAGACACTCACCAAGTTCCGGACACAGTTCTAGACTATGGTAGATGACAGGATGG